GGAGATCTAATGATGAAGGATCTAAGTATGCAAACTCGATTCGAGTGGGTGAAAGATTTGGGGAAGCTCATCTCCCATAATAATCAGGAAACCCATAAATGGGTGAGAAGGGAGTCTAGGGAATCGAACTCAAGACCCTCTCTTTGATGTGCATAACTGTTTACTCCAAAAGTTTAAGTTACTGAATCATGACATGGAATATATTTCATATCTTAGTATGGAAACTTTAAGGTGTTAAGTGCACTTGTTATGCGTGAATACAAATAAGAATCTCACATCAAGTGTTTCAAGTGAAAAAGAATCAATTTACATATCTAGTTGGCTCATAATTCAATAGCTTAAGTTTTTTTGTCAAATTAGTTTCAACTATGGATGCTAGCAGGCTCAAGCTTTGGCCTCACTTTTAATGATGGCATCGGAATTTTGTAGCTCTTCCTCATCACAAGGCTATTGTAAATATTGTTGTGTATTCGTGTTCACGTGTCAAATTTTGTTATGAATTCATGTAAAATATCGACATCTTTAATTGCCAACTTGTCTGCTGATTTTAATTTTTTGGATTGGACTTCTTAACGATAAAGAAATCGCTTTTCCAAAAGTTTAAGCTATTAGGAAATCAACCAATAATGTGTATAACATATTATTCAATATTCCTCGTATATAAACCGGTCCTTCCATGCCAATACGATGTGGACATGATCACTTCAAACTAGAGACAAATAGAATATAGGGATAAGAGATGGGAGAAAGATAAGTGAGGGTGTTATACTATATACTCTTGATATTTTCTCCAATATCATGTTAGATAAATTATTTTTGCAGAAGTTAAATTGTTAGGAAACGGGCAACAATATGTTAACAAATTTATTAAATGCCAAACTTGCATGGTTTAATGAAAAGATACTCTTAAGATTAATCTACTGGGAGACCGCACTTCAAACTTGGGGTTCTGCAACACTTCCCCCAAGTTTCCTTTTCTCCTCCATTTCTTCAATTAATTCAATTGCTCTTATCCTACGCTTTTCACATGCAAATGAAAGAATATATTGCCTTAACAGTGGTAGAAAGAAGCTCAAGTTTTTTTTCTAAAGTTCAATTAGTAAATAATTATTTTCAATTTCTATGTCCAATAACATACTTCATCTTTCTTTCCTCTGTCAGTGACATCATGCTGATCTCTGGGAAACTTCTTAGTAAGTTGGGAGAGAAAAGACCGCTACTTCAACCACTTGAAGCTTACAGTTCAGTTCACATACATATATTCTTTTGTCCTGGCAATGATGTTTTCTGTACACTCTCTCTCTCTCTCTCTCTCTCTCTCTTTTGAGTATTGCTCTCTATCTTTCCTTTTCCAAACAAAAGGTAACATGTCTCAAAGAATTTTCCTTTTCCTAATGCTTAAATTTATCTTCACCCACAAGGGATCAAAAAAACTTAAAGACAATACACATTGGGGGAATATCGGTGTGGCAATTTAGAATACATGGCTCTTCAGATGCTCGAAATTATAGCAGATTGTAGTAAGCCTTTGGACACCATTATGTGCAACTATGTCTGCATAATATGCTTTTATTCACTTAACACACTTGACATGCTTGAGTTGAGAATAATATCTGAATAGTACACTTAGGACAGTGCATTAACGAGTATCGGTTCATTATCTTAATTTCGGCGCGCTATGATAAAACGAGGTGCTTATGAGCACATGATTCCGATCATGGGTTAATGAAAGGCGCCCCAATAAAATTTGCTAAAAGGGATAAAGAGAACCCATTTTATGTGGCTTTGGGTAGAGAGGAATAATCCAATTCTTGACTTGAGAATACGACTTGTTGCTTTATAGGTTTTGAGTTAAGATTCTCATATTCCATTCCATTGGAATTGGAATCTGCCAACTTTTTCTTTCCTCTCTCTATTCCTCATAACTTTTTTCCCTCCTCCACAAGGAATATCATTCCGTGGCCATTTCTCACTTTCGATTTGAGCCATAGCAAATCCCCTGTGGTCAGAAATTTGTAACCAATCAGAATTTCACAAGTTTTTTTTTCTGTCCTTGTGATGGACTAGTCGTATGATGATTCTCATATACGTTTAAATTGCTTCTCTTTCAGGGCTTGGTCTCACCCCAAAAGTGGCTTTACATATTAATGTATAAGCGCACAAAAGGCAATGTAACTTGCAAGTACAAAGCAGGAACATTTAAGTCTATGTTCTGTCTAAAAAGTGTCAGAATAGCATCAATTGATGTGGAAGAGAAACAACAGTTAGTTACAGGTAGTCAAAGGTGAGCGTTCCTCTGTTTCGGGCAATGTAATGTGAAGTTAAGTGCTCCAGATGTGCCGTTTTGGTCATCGAGTGTACAGAGACATTAAGTGAAAGCCACAGTATCCTGATTGTTCTGTTCATGATTTGAGATGACTTTTGAACAGTTCGTGGGGTATGGTGATTCGGTCAAACCAATCATTGAACATTACGCACGGGTTAGAACCGTTATGCCAATTGATGAGGATTCATCAAAGTTACATCTGCTCCTGCTCTTTCTAAAAGGTGCAACCTGTTGCATTTAGATCTATGGTTTGGGTACAATCATAGTTTAACTTTTTGGGACAGTCAGCTGCTTATCGGCCTTACAAATTTATAGAAGCAAGAGTCCATTGTGTAATCTTGCTGCATGTCCTATAAACTCAGCTTAAAACAGAAGGAGCATGAAGAAATAAGCTTGCTCTAACGTTCTTGGCCATCTCGTGACAACTTAGAGTTTATTGGAACAGATGGTTGTTTGATGGCATCAAATTTAGGTCACGCTTTTGGTTTTCATCACTGCCTTGTCTGTTTAAAGCTTTTCACATTTCATTATTGTCTCGCGCTTTCCAGTGTCCTTTCTCTCTGGTCAATTTTACACACCATAATTCACGCGTAAAGTCCGGTATACACATGGAAAAATTTTATGGCTCAATATGCAGAGAGTATGTTTTTTACTTGTTTGAGTTTTACGGGACAAACAATTGCCATCCAGATTTGGTAGGATAATTCAATTTGTACAATCTCATTCGTTTAATGTTCTGTCGCAGGATTAAGTATTCTTCTCTCTTTCTTGGGTGTGTTGGGGTCGTCTCCCGGTCAATCTCTTTTGTAAAACAAACACAAATTGAACACATGAGAAGAGGGCAAGCAGTTTTTAGTCTCTCAAAAAATCTTATATGTGACATTCATGTTATCTTTCAATATGCATGATAAAAGTGCAAAAACATTTGGCAAATCCAATGCAAAATAAATTATGTTGCAGAAAAAGTTGACTTTAAGGTGAAACTGAGTTTGTAGAGTAGCTGCAATTTCATGTTGCAACTGTCAGTGTATCGGAACGCTCCTGTACAACTTATTCCTATCCACATGCCAGACAATTATTCAGAAATCCCACCTTTAAAAAGCTTTAGCAAAAGCCTGTCACTTCAGGGGATTCTCCCGATCTGGATAAATATCTTTGCATTATCAGAATTCAATGATTTTCCAGGAAGAGACCTTCTGGAACTAACGGGGACGGTATTGTTCCAGCGATGCGATTGTAAAGCATGATTTATTGTCTATTGTTGAGCAATGTTCCACTCTGCGAGTTCGCCGGTGTCCTTTGAAGGATTTCAATGCAAAGTTTTTCCTCAAGACATGCTCCAAGTAGATATCATCTAAAAACCCACCAGTTATTCAATTTGAGGAAGTATCAGATGCTTACAAATAATGCAAATGTGACTGTTTGACAATGGAACACTGCGCAGACAATATTTCTCAGCGGAAACCTTATATACGTGATTTTTAGAATTTAAGCAGACATTTATGTCTTTCCACACTGTTTGTATGCACAGACAATGCAAAAGGTTTTATGAATGAGTAACTTTATATTCGGTGGCAATGAGCACCCCTGCGCTGCGATACAAGTCCCTGTGAAACAGCATATAAACATCAACAAAAGGGAAAAACAGCAAGCGAAAAGTGTAGAGATTCACGCAATGCAGGAGAATCCAAAAAGCCAAACGGCAGGAGTCAAGGGCAAGGTCATGGGACTCTCTACGCCAGAGATTGTCCTGTCTTTCATCAACTGCAAGTATGGAAGCAAGTACAATTCCTTTTTTCCCCCCTCTCCAATGGGTCCCAGGATTTTAGGATTCTCCAATTCGCCAGTGCGGGGCCGGCTATTTTACGCCAATTGAAGTATGAAAAAGATTTTGGACCAGCATCCTTCTAATATTATGCGCTATGCGGGCTGAATAAGTACCAAACTTCTGAAGAAGACAAAGTGGGAATGTATTCCTTATTCCATGCCTTGCTTCCAACACTCCAAGGAAGAGCATCTCATTACCGAATTTTTGATCTCCCTTCTGTAATGTATCCATTTCCAATGCTCCAGTCAACAGAATCTTCTAACATTCTGCAAATACAGCCAATAAAAGCATTTTCTTAGGGTCTAAATTAATATGAAGAAACGAAAAAAAATCCCATCACAATCAGATTTAACTTATTTACTTGTGATCGCGTAACCCCAACAAGAGGATAAAAATGTTTGTGAGTTCTTCAGAATCTTCCCTAAAGGTGAGAAGGCGAAACAAGGTCTTTGGAGCTTTCAAGGCACACAGAGTTAGTGGATTCTCCTAATCCAAGTCAGAAATTCCCCTATAAAAATCCGGGAATCAGGTTCCTACCTTTGCCAGGTGGAGATATATGAATTGCCTACGAAAAAAAAATTAGACAGAGGGATCAATTCTGGTGCTCGTTGCGAGGCTCAAGGGGCTATGGAAAGGTGTATTGAAGAGGAATTCAAACTGGTGGGCACTGTCTGAGAATGGAAACTAAAGAAGGCGTGTAGGGCCCGGCGCTTAACAATGTAGGAAGGACAATATCTCCTTTTGATGTCGCTATGAATATTGAATTGGGTCCAGCCCTCCCCATGGCTCTGTCGAAGATTCTGTCCTGTCTCGCTAACCTTCCTTTATAAAGGTCCTTCGCAGGCCAAACCTTTCATTGAGCAAGATCAGAAGGCTAAGGATCAACAGTATAAGTGAGAGTTCTTAGGAAGTTGTGTCTGAATTTACTCCAATTCAGGACTAGACGTTGCGTGGTGTGGAAGAAAGAAGAAGCGAGTTTGGTTCAGAGCATAAACATTGGATCACAAGAAGAGTGAAACGCGATTCAGGTAAATCCTAGAGCTCATTTTTAATTGGGCAATCTTGTTGCCTGAGCTCGTGCATCGAGCTTGACTTGAGCCAGGGTGTCATTGCGCTACAGAAAAGAAAACATGTACCATCATAACCAGCATCTGGGAAAGAACATCAATCCTTCTTCAAGAATGTCAATCCCTTCAGACAGGCATTTGTTTCTACAAGGTGGTAATGGTCCTGGAGATTCGGGACTCGTCCTGTCGACTGATGCGAAGCCTAGACTAAAATGGACACCTGATCTTCACGAGAGATTCGTCGAAGCAGTCACCCAGCTTGGCGGAGCAGATAGTGAGTAAAGAAACGTTATGATGCCGAGTTCATTCTGAAATTTATGCGGCAAAAAATGCTGTGAACATCCGCTGATGCAAGTATTATCCTTTCATATTGCAGAGGCCACTCCCAAAACAGTCATGAAGCTTATGGGAATTCCAGGCCTCACCCTATACCACTTGAAGAGTCATCTCCAGGTAAATTGTTCATCTTCGCTGAGCTTTCATTCTAGTGCTTTCAGTGATTTGACTTCCATTTCCTACTCCTTGGTTAAGCCATTTCAAACTCATGGCATGTTACTTTATTGCTCGTCAAATAATGGACGAAGTCACTCTTCTTATTGTTGAAATCTATATCTTTTCCAAGATTGTTGAGAATGAGAAAGTCAGGATATGCGGAAAATTTCAGGTTCTTATATGTTCTGCAAATGATTCTAAGGACGTTATAGCATGACGTTTTAAAACAAGACACGACCTTTCGCTTCTTAGGTCTTATGTATGTTGTAACTTCGTAAAGTAACCTCAGCTTTTTTCCGGTGCAGAAATACAGGCTCAGTAAGAATCTGCATGGACAAGCAAACAGCGGAAACAACAAAATCGGTATGTGGAGATTATTCTATTCTCTGCAGATTCTATACATGACAAGAAACCTAGAGATTTGTGGGGGATTCTCATAGAGATAATCTAACTGGAACTAATCGCCTGGCACAGGTACTGTCGCTGTTGGAGGAGACAGAGTACCAGAGACAAACGGATCTCACGTCCACAATTTAAACATCGTACCGCAAACAAACAAGTAAGAACACAAACATTCTCCGAGTGGCAACGATTTTCGTAACCAACTTGAAGCTGTCACCTATCTACTTATACTAGACATATTTCCTGAGTAAACCTTTTCCGACACAGAAACTTGCATTTCAGTGAGGCGCTCCAGATGCAAATTGAAGTGCAGAGGAGACTCCATGAACAGCTGGAGGTAAAGAAGATTTCAAGCTTTTATTTCACATATCATTCATTATGAGCATTAGTAGTGACGAAGAACCAAAGGAAGTTTAAGCCACAAAGATAAAAATGATCATGCTGGTGTATTATTGCCATTAGAAGCAGAAATAGTAGAACCTAGAAAGCCAAAAACCAAAAAATGGTTGATAGAGTGCAGATTTGGATTGATATTTGAATATGTAACGACTTAACATGGATAGACCAACTCGTGGCAAAAATTATTATCAAAGGTCACAGTCCGATCACTTCTATCAAGATTTTGTAAGGACAGTCACTTCTGTTTCCATCTAAATTCAGATTTTCTCGCAACTCTTTGCATGTAGATGTTATTGTTAGGATAAAGTTCGTGATCTCCCTTCTTTGTTTGTCATTCTACTGTCTGTATTGGTAGAAAAACATCCTGAGAAACCTGTCCAAACTCGCTCAGGTACAGAGACACTTGCAGCTCCGGATAGAGGCTCAAGGAAAGTATCTCCAGTCAGTGCTCGAGAAAGCTCAAGAGACTCTAGGGAGACAAAACTTGGGCTCAGCGAGCCTCGAAGCCGCCAAGCTTCAGCTTTCCGAGCTGGTGTCCAAAGTATCTACGCAAAGCCTGAACTCCGCATTCCCGGACTTGAAGGAACTTCAGGGCTTATGTGCACAGCAAATGCAGATGAACCCGCCTACCGATTGTTCCGTTGACAGCTGCCTCACCTCCTGCGAAGGATCACATAAAGACCAAGAGATTCACAACAACGGCATTGGGCTGAGACCATATAGCGGTGGTAGCATGCTCTTGGACCCAAAAGAAATCGCAGACGAGCCCAGAACAGAGAAAATTGAATTCAAGTGGGGTGGGGATGTGAAAGAAGACAGGATGTTTCTTTCATATGGAGTGAAGGAAATGGAGAGGAGATCTTTCCCTGGAGGACTAGGACAAAGCCACTTGTCCATGAGCATAGGCCTTGAAGGAGGACAGGGCTGTTCCGAGGTGAAAAACAAAGCCAAAGAAGGCGGAGGGAGCGTGGATTTCCTTGAAAGACTGCACTCCAGAGCGGATTCGGTGAAGCTGGATAGCGATCAGAGATCCTGTGGGAATCGAATGCATTACTTCGACGCGAAACTTGACCTGAATGCCCACGAAGAAAATGACGTCGCCTCGAGCTGCAAACAGTTCGATTTGAATGGATTCAGCTGGAGCTGAGAAGGGTCTCTCGGGCTAAACCAGATCGATTCAACGGACAAACGCTTCCCAAGCTCACCTTCCCCTGCAGTGAAGGATCGGTGGCTGGGAAGATGGCCAGCCACTGGCCGTTCAGTCAGGAAATAATTTGCATCACCCAAATGTGTACACTATTTATAAGTAGATAAGCAATGAGGGGCTTCTAAAGCATGCAAAACTATATTGTCGTAGATAATTTTTCAAGAATGCCAAGTTATATACTTGGTGCACAATTCATGCTTGTTTAATCTGAATAGAAATGGTTGATGCATACTCAACCATTGATCTGTAGATCGCAAGTGCTTAGTCTCATCAGATAGGGAAAGAAAAGGGACAGCAAACCCTTTCTCAAACTTCTAACGAAACTTAACAGCAGACAACATATATAAAATGATCATTCCATTTTGTAAAAGCTCAGCAACATGGGATATCTCATTCCCACGATCAATTAAGATCAAGTTCCTCTGTTCTAGGCTTTTAGAAGACCTTTCGTTCTGACACGCGCATCAATTACCACTGAGAAAATGTTTACTTCAAGATTTGAATTTCAGAACTAAAACTTCTTCTCTAGCCATAGAAACTATTCATCAATCAATGGATATGGTGATTAGCTTGATCATCATTTGGAGAGCTCTTCTTCACAGTTCACAGCTTGTGAACTATATAGGATATATCCGACACCGTCGGTACTGGTATGCTTACCAGGGTTTTCACATGATTATTCGCGTCTTTATTTTCACAGATAGAGCGAGGATATGTGGATCGAGAGGTGATAGTTTCCTTCTCTCCCGGGTACTAGAATTAGGCTCTGCCGGCGTTGCTTGGTGTATTTTCTGCTTCTCCTTCTTCACGCTCATTCAAATTGAAGCCTTCAGATATACAGAACTCTCCTAGGGGCAAGAAGCGAGAATTATTGCAATGACCATAACTTTTGGTCCCGATGGAGTTACGAAATTGAAGGACCAGTAAACAAATCCACGGTCTAGAGTAACCGTCAAACCTTTTATACCCGTTCCTTTATAACCTCAAAATCCACTCATTTTCGTAAATTTCGGGGTCATTTTCTTCAATCGTTGATTACATAGTTAATATTCTCAGTTCCGTTATTTTCTCTTGACCTTGCGGAAAATAAATGATTTAGAAAATATTTTCCTAAATATTATCGCTTTCAAAAAATGAATGAATGAAATGTATCTTCACTACCCACAAAAATGTTTAGACATGAATTGTTGTCAATAATGAAAATGTTTTTTCATTGACCAATTATTTCAAATGATATAAGCTATCGTCTTGAGGACTCCGTTTGTTTTGCGAATAACATTTTCCTATTTTTTGACAGTTGGATCGCTTAGGAAAATAAGTCAACATAAAAACCTCTACTTAAATTCAGGAAAATGATTTCCTCTTTAAAAAATCAAAAATCATTTTTCAAAATATGACTAAATAACAATGCTTGGATCAAAAACGCTGCGTTTGGGCACAGAAACCCCAACACTCATTTCATGGGCCCTTGGCAGCAGACTCAAGTCCGGGTCTAAAGAGATTGGGCCTAGGACCCTGGTGCTTGTGCTTGGGACCCCAGTGCCTAAACCAGAGTCCATCAAGGCTGGGGCCGAGACCAACGGAGTCCATCAAGGCCAAGCCTGGGTCTAAAGAAGCCGGGCCAAGAACCCCAGTGCTGGTGCTTGGGACCCCAACGCCCAAGTCCATCGAGGCCGAGCCCAGGACATCAATGCTTGTGCCTAAATCCTTGGCTATCGCACCCGGGTCCATCGAGGCCAAGCCCGAAACTTCTGGCACTTGGGACCGAGTCTTTGGGCGAGTGCCCGAGTCCTTCAAGACCAGGCCTAGGTCCCCCTGGTCCATCATGGTTGGGCTTGAGTTTATCGGGGCCAAGTCTGAGAGCTCAACGCTCGAGGTCGGGCTCGAGTCTATCAAGACTGGGGGACCCCAATGCTCACAAACGAATCCGTCAAGGCTAGGCTTGGGACCCCGGCACCCGCACCCAGGTCTGTCCATGCTGAGACTAGGATCCAGGCTCATGCGCTCGATTCCGTCGAGGCCAAGCTCGAGTCCTGACATTCGCACCTGGGTCCATCTAGGCTAGGCCTTAGACCTCAACACCTAGGCTTAGGTTTTGGCATGGGCACTGTGGTCTAGGTTATGAGTCCAGCCTCGATGGACTTGGGCTCGGGCGCGAGGGTCCAAGGCTTGACCTTGATTTAATATTTAATATTTAGCATAAGGGGGAGTGTTGGAATAATTAAATATTAAATCACGCATTCATCTAACAGCTTAAGTTTTTTAAAACAGTAAACAACGATCCCACGAAATCTCACATTTATATTCAAGAAATTAACTATACCTTATCTTCCATAAGAAATTACCGAATGTTATGCTGAACTACCTTATTTTTCAAACCAAAATAGCTAATGCTACCAAATTGCTATAATCGTAATCCATGTTGAATACTTCAATTTTCAAAATTTAATCAACTTACCTAAGAAGACCTAAATTAATCGAATTAGCAGATTTGGTTGAAATAATCATGAGCTTGATATCCAGCACAATTTGTCATGGGACAAACGCATTGTACTAACTCAATGAAACACACGACAAACAAGGATATTATTTTCTTTTTCTATTTTAATTTAAATCAATAAGCAGATCCTCTCACGAAAAGTTAAGGACGGCGCAATTTATAAATTATATTAAGCTCCATTTATTTTACGAAAAATGAATAATCTATAAAATATTTTATTAAAAATGACTCCTTGTATTATTTTATAAAAATGAATAAACGAAAAAATTTCCATCTTCGGCGAAAATGATTAGATATAAATTGTTGTCAGTTATGACATCATTTTTCATTGACTAATTATTTTAAGGGAAATAAGCGATCGTTTTTATGAAAACGTTTTCAAAACCATTTATTTTCCGCAAAACAAATGGAGCCTTAAATTCAATTATATTTCAAGTGATAAATACCGAACCGAGAGCTTGTTTGGTTGGCTTTTTAAATTCAAAAAAGTTACTTATCGACATGATACCGAAAATCCCAAAAAAAATATTTTAGCTTCAAAGAGTTACGAAAATATCTCGAATGTGTTGGTATAATTTTTATAAAAAGAAAAAGATCGAGGTGATTTATATTAAAAATAAATTCACTAAACCTATACGTGGAAATAAAAATTTGAAAACGAAAATCGCTCCAATAATAACAATACACCCTTTTGCCTCGGTAGTATTAAGGATAACGACATAAATGATTCTTGAACTTTCGCTTATTGTGCAGTGTGGTCCCCTAATCTCCATACTATATGAAAACAATTAATATTATCTTTCCATCAATTTAAGTACATGAACGATATTAAACATTTTCATACAATATAAGGACTGATTTAAATGGATACCAAAAGTTCATGGACCGTATCGAATAAATTAAAAGTTTAGAAATAGTATTGTATGTTAGCCTAAAGTTTAAAGACCGCATCGGACGAATGAAAATTTCATGAATTTACATTGTACACCGAGTCGCAGTCCAATGACCATATCGAACCGAGGTGGTAATTCTTTTAATGTTTCGGCTAAGGGAGAGATTTCTCTTCCCTTTCTCGCCGGGTCGCCTCTACCCCCCCCAAAAAAAAGACAAAAAGCCCGAAAAAGCGAAATCCGAGCAGGGCCCCCCCGGGGGGCTTAATGCCATGCAGCGGGCCCCGCAGCGACGTCGTCCGCCACCCTCCCTCCTTCCCTCGCTCTCGCTTCCCGAAGCGAACAACAAAATCCTCTCTCCCTCTCTCTTTCTCTCATTATTTGGCGTTACGAGCATTCCATTCGAGCAAAAACACTCCCCTCACTTCAAATTCCCAAGCTCTCCCTCTCTACCTCTCTCTCTCTCTCTCTCTCTCGCTCTCGCTCTCGCGCTCTGCGCGTCCTCCTCTTCGCCGTAGCCGTCGCCGCCGGACCGGTACGCGACCGCCGCCGCCGCCGCCGCCGGCTGGCTCGGGGCCTGGCCCGGAATTCGCAATGGGAGCGAGCCGGAAGCTCCAGGCGGAGATCGACCGCGTGCTGAAGAAGGTCCAGGAAGGCGTCGAGGTCTTCGACGGCATATGGAACAAGGTCGGCGCAACGACCGCTCGCGCGGCGAGAATTCCTCGCCTCCGGCTCTCTCTCTCTCTCTCCTTCCTTTCCGCGATCGGAGCGTGCGCGGGCCTTGCTTTCGCGTTCGGTTGATCGTCGGTTGATTTTTTCGTTTCGTGTTTTCTCGTTTGCCTTGCGCCTTCAGGTTTACGACACGGACAATGCGAACCAGAAGGAGAAGCTGGAGGCGGACTTGAAGAAGGAGATTAAGAAGCTGCAGAGGTACCGCGACCAGATTAAGACGTGGACGCAGTCGAGCGAGATCAAGGATAAGAAGGTCTCTCTCTCTCTCTCTCTCTCTCTCTCTCTCTCTCTCTCTCTCTCTCTCTCTCTCTCTCTCTCTCCTTACTCTTGAGCATGCGTTCGTCCTCGATTGTCGTCGTTTTTCTTTGCGGCGCGCTCGCGATCGGTGATCATCCCGCCACCATTTCTGTTTCGATCGAGACATTATCGTCACCCTCGTTTAGTTTTTGTTGTTCGCTTTCGGTTGCTGTAATAATAATTTGCATGCAGAGTGGCTTTGTCCATTTCGGTTTATGAAATGTCGCGCGTTCGCGCTGGCTGAATTTTTTTAGCCTATGATTATTCATTGTGTAATTCTTTTTTTCGTGCGTTTGATCACGCTTGATTTCATAAGTTGTAGGTGGTCCAGAGACTTTCGCTGGCACAACACTGTACTCTGTTTGATTTAGTCTCAGAATCTTTTCAAACAGGGTTAAGCATTTAATTCCCTGGAATGGATTTGCATATTGATGTATGACACACAACATCTGCTATCCTGGGAATCAGTTTTTTATATTAATTTGTCCTCCTAGATTCAGATTGATGTTAATTGAAGCGGCGTGTGATGATCTTAGGGCAGAGCACCACGCCGTGGTGAATATTGATGCAGAATCATATTTTAGTTGAAGCTGCTTGGAGTTCATTTGGGGTAAATATATTGCTTCTGTGGTAAGGTTTGGCAACTAGTAGTCTTTGGTGTTTGTGTATGAAGCATAGTGTGGGCCATATGTCCATAAGAGCATCTACAATAGTTATTGACCTGACTTTTTTGTCATTCCGTGGCCGGTGGCTAACTCATTCCACAAAGGTC